CCCTGTCCGGCACCGCGGAGGGGTGGGGCCGGTGTGGGGGTTCGTTCCCGCCTGACCGCCTGGGAGTCCAGTCAGGTCCAGTCAGGTCCAGTCAGGTTCGCGGCCCGCGGCCCACAGAGCAGCGCCCGTCCAGCCCGCGCTCGCCAGCATGTCGTTCGTCCCGGTGGCCGAGGACTCTGACTTCCCGGTCCACAACCTGCCCTACGGCGTGTTTTCCACCACAGACAATGTGAGCCGAAGACGCGGGCGGGCGGGCGGCTCCTCACCCGGGACCCTCTGCACCCCCTGCACCTCGCACCGCCTCGGGCCTCGCGCGTGCCCGCCGGCCTTCCCCGCGCCCACCCCGGGGTCTGGCGGCCGAGGAGCCCCGCGGGGCGGTGAAGGCGCGGGCGGCGGGGCCGCAGGGTTCTGGGCGCTTGTGCGGGTTTGTGTGGGAACCGAGTGCTGACGAAACGGGGCACGTACTGCCCCTGCCCCCACACCAGGCCCGCTGAGCAAGGTCCGTTCCGGTCCCGCAGCAGCTGCAGCCAGTCGTGCTCCTAACCCACAGTCAGTTATTGGGGTGCATTGCCTTCCCTCGAGAAGCCAAGCCGCGCCGTGCAGGCGGCCCCTCAGCCCGACTAGCCCCCAACGCCCCCTCCCCGGGAAATGTGAATTGACCCCCGCGTTTCCAGGAGCTTCGAGGCTGAGCGCGTTTGCTGGCGTAGAGCCGCGCGACCCAGGATGTCAGGTCTTCTTCCTCCAGCGTCTTTCAGCCCTGGGGGGCCGGCTCCCCGCCCTTCTCTTGCTAGTCATAGGAAGCTTCCCTTTTGGGCGGAAAACCAAACTTTCACTTAGCGTAGTGCGATCGCTGGAAAGAAATCTTTGAAGAAGAGCCCCAGAATCTGCTCGCACCCAACAGCGTTCAGAAAATGTTGGTCAGGGGAGCTCCCGCAGTCACCCCCTTCCTGGAAAGTGGGTTCCCTCCCCCCAGGCTGGATCACTGGCCCACCTGGCTGGCCTTTCCTGGGCCTGCCTACAGCCAGTGTGCCTTGGTCTGGAAGAGTCAACATGTGGTTGCACAACTGCCTGGCCTGACCAGATGTTGCAAGGATACAAAAGGTTAACTAACACTGACTCCCTCGGCCTCCGGGAGGGAGTCAGGCACGAGGAGGCAAGTTAAACCTTCCCCTGTGTGAGCCACCGCTCTGCGGGCGGCCACCCACTGTAGTCGCTACCAGTGGTCCTCACCGTTTCTGGGAGTGCAGGTCAATTAGCCGAGAACGTTGACTAGAGGCGGCGGGTGCTCTGACTTGCTTTCTCAGAGGACTGGAATGAATGCACCTGAGTGTGGCTCGTGGATCTCCAGACACCACGCCCCTGCTGTTTTCATATTGGAGTGTGCAGGGACACCCACAAGGGACGTCTGAGAGAGACAGCCCCTTCCTACTGTCCTCTGAAGCATGCTGGGATGGGGATTTGGCCCCTTGGGCATTCCAGCAGACCCGGGGCCCTGAATCAGAACGGGCCTCATCAGAAGCTATCACTGCAGGCATTGCAACCCATTGAGGGGCACAGGGAGCTGGGGTTCGGTTGAGGATCCAATTCCTCAGTCCCTCTCCTAGGGCCATCTCCGGGGGACTTGTGGGCTCGTAAGTAGTTGGACGTACTGGGTAAATGAGCCGAGCCTGCCGAGGCTTTTCCCTGTGCTGACCATGTCCCCTTCTTCCCAGCCAAGACCAAGGATCGGCGTGGCCATTGGGGACCAGATCCTGGACCTCAGTGTCGTTAAGCACCTCTTCACCGGGCCAGTCCTCTCCAAACACCAGGATGTCTTCGATCAGGTAGGACATTGTGACATGGTTTGTCCTGGATCTTGGTGGCCCTGCACATCTGTAGCCATAGCCTGGGAGGAAGGGACAGCTGGCCCCAGTGCCGTCTGCATTTCCACCGTTGAGGAGTCAGCCTGCGGGAAGGATGCGAATCTGCTTCCCTGTAGATGGTCGGGTGCTTTGGCGTGCATCTTCCCATCCCCTGTGCCAGGAGTCCCGCACACCCTGCTGCCCAGTCCTCACAGCGACCCTCGGACATAGGAACCGGAATCCCCGTTAGATGGATGGGGACCTAATCTAAAGCGAGACACTGCTCTCCCCGGCCCCGTGGCTACAGCTCTCAGAGCTGAGGCTGGAACTCCGGCCTTCAGACCCGACCCATGCTTGTTCTGCCACAGTTCACTGTGAAGAAACGTCTCCTTAACTTACGTGAAGGGTGTCTGTATAGACAGCGATAACTCGCAGACTAGATCACGTCTCCGGTGGAGGGACACGGCCACCTTTAGCTGGGCCAAGCTGAATCAGCCGCATCCAGGTAGTGGCTCCCAGGCTTTGCCAGTTGTGTGCAAGTCCCGTCAGGAAAGGTGACGCCTTTCCCCAACTATATAAACAGATGACAGAGCTAAGAGTGAAAGTCTTGGGAGTTCGAGTGACCTCGAGATGAGTGGTGGGTCCTGGAAGGCTGGCCGGCCTCTCCCGTGGACAGGAGGGGCCTGCCCAGCCCTTTCTGGTGGGTGACCTCCTTTCTCCCTGTTTTAGCCAACGCTCAACAGCTTCATGGGCCTGGGTCAGGCTGCCTGGAAGGAGGCGAGAGCTTTCTTGCAGAATTTACTGTCTGCCAGCCAGGCCAGGCTCAGAGATGACAGGGAGCTTCAGAAGCGGTAAGGACATGTCGATGTTGGTGGGTGGGGACAGGAGGACGGGGTGCTTGTCAGGGCCGTTCTGGGTCACCACCAGGCCACCTTGGCATCATCCGGCCCCGTCCGGGCTGCATGTAGGTGGGAGGGCTCTGAGTGGACTGGAATTACTCCTGTGCCTGGACTGTGTCTGGCCAGGCCCACTGGCCCATCCCCTCTCTTATCAGCATCATCCCTGTCCTTGTCTGGTTCTCAAAGTAGGCGTGAATTAGCTGGTTTCCTGGAGTGGGACACAGAGGCAGAAAAGAGGCGTCTCAGCTTTAGTGGGTGGACGCCTGCCCTGGTGTGGTAGCTTCAGCCCAGCTGGCCCAGACCAGCATGGAGGCACTCACTGGAGGTTGTGAGCAGGATTCTGGGCTGGGCTGGGCTGGGCTGAGCCTGCAGGCGGGCCACCCGAGCGGGGCCCTCACTTTGCCACCTGCTGGACTCTGAAGCCCCCGATTCTGTGTTTCAGCGCATTCGTCTCCCAGGTTTCAGCCACAATGCACCTTCCAGCCACCATAGGTAAGTGCAGTCTCGTGACGGCGGGTCCCTGCTTCCTCCTGGGGCGGGAAGGGAGGAGGGTCTCCAAAGCTGTTAGCCCTCCCCATCTCTGACCGAGGCCAGGCATTGACTCAGGCCGTGTCAAAGGCCCGAGCTTTCATTTCTTATTTGTTTCTCAGTTTCCCCCCCGCCCCCCAAACACACACCCCCAGCTGGGTGCCGCCAGAGCACACAGTGGCTGAGAGTTGAAAACAATTTTTTAGTGAGGCTAATTTGTGTGCATTTCATGCGGAGCTTTGGGGCGGCACACATGTTGTGGGTGCATGCTCACGGCCCGTGTCCCCCACCTTGCGGAACGGGGCGCAGGGGAAGCTGGCACGCTTGCCTCCTCCACCTTGTTCCTCTCGCCCGGTCCTTAGGACGTCCCTTCTCTGTCCTGGGCCATCTGGGTCACTGCGGGGCGCTCGTGACTTTCCCCTGCAGGTGACTACACGGACTTCTATTCCTCCCGGCACCATGCTACAAACGTCGGGGTCATGTTCAGGAGCAAGGAGAATGCGCTGGCGCCCAATTGGTATGTCCTGGGCCAGTCTGATGAGTTCAAGGTCTGCCTTTCCGTTTCCAGCAGCATGTCGTCCCGGGAGCTGGCAAGTCCCTCTTCGGTTCGAAAACCGGGGAGGAAAACCAGTGATGACCATGATGTCACCTCTTCTGCAAACAATGGCCTCAGCTTCTGGTCTCCTCGGCTCCACCCTGGACCTGCTGTGGCTCAGGGGGCAGTCCCTGAAGCTCCTTTATCTAGAGCATGGGGGCTGCACCTAGGTTCCCTGGGTCAATAAGATCTTTCCAGATTCTCTCATTTGTAAGCGATGTCCTGTGGTTCTGTCGGCAAGTCTTGCCTCCTGGCATTCTCCATGCTTAGAATCCTCTGATCGACGAGAATCCTCACGTGTGCCCAGGGCTGCGTGTCTCTGAGTGCGCTCAGTCAGAATGCAAGCCTCATTCATTTATTTGACCCTCATAGCTTGCATCTCACAGGACGGAAAGCAGGCCCAGAGGAGGGTCCACTTGCCTGAGGACCAGCAGGGCCAGAGGCTGTCCCCCGACTCCTAGACTGAGGCCGCTGCCCAAGCCGAGGTCCTGGCCCTTTTGTTCCATGCTTTCCTCCGGAGGCACACACACAGTGACCCCCCCCCCACACCCCACCTAGGCTGGGTGCCGCCAGAGCACACAGTGGCTGGGGCGGGCAGAGGCTCTTCCATCTCAGTGAGGGTTTCAGGCACGCTGTGCCAGGAGGGGAGATGTCTGTCAGAGCAGCGATGCTCACCAGCAGTCTTCCTGATGGCCCAACGCTGGCAGCAGTCTGAATGCTCACGGGTAGAGGACTAGCTAAAAAATTATAGTCTATTCAAAATACAATATTTTATAGCTGCTTTAAAGCGTCCTCTATATCGGAAGAAAAGATTTAGGAGCAAAAGGGGTGCGCATGACATATGTATTAAGTGAAGATGTTATGTAAAGTTGAGTTCTTTTATAAAAAGACAAAGAAAAAAATACATAACATACACCCTGTATTAGTTTCCCACGGCTGCTGTAATAAATTACCATGAACTCAGGGGCTTAAAACAACGCAGGAACATTCATTCTCTTACAGTTCTTGGGGCCAGAAGTTCGAAATCAGTCTCACTGGGCACAAGTCAAGTATTCGTCTCTTTGTGACTGGCTCGTTTCACTTAACGTAACGTCCTGCAGGTTCATCCGTGTTGTCACATGTCTCAGACTGTCCTTTCTAAGGCTGAGTGACGTTCCGTCATATGTATAGACCACATTTTGCTTATCTGTTTGTCTGTTGATGGATGCATGGAAATGCCTTTTAGTTTTTGAACCAGGGCTACATGTTGACTCTGTTTTTGTTTTTAACTTTTCAGAATTTTGAAATGTACTTTGCAACACGTAACGGCACTGACTCCCTTCCTTCTCGCCCTCCTTTATCAGGCTGCACTTACCAGTGGGCTATCACGGTCGTGCCTCTTCTGTCGTGGTGTCCGGCACCCCCATCCGGAGGCCCATGGGACAGATGAGACCCGATGACTGTAAGTGCCCCGATGTCCAGGCCCCGCCATGTAGCTCCGTGTCCCGTGCAGTGAGTTCCCTGGCCTGGTGCACACAACGGCTTCTTTTTCTGGTGTTATTCCAGCTAAGCCTCCTGTGTATGGTGCCTGCAAACTCTTGGACATAGAGTTGGAAATGGTAAGCTGGACCTCGGTGTTTTATTGGCATGGGCTCTATGGAAACGTTATGGCCGGATGCGGGATGGGGGAGCTTGCCCCAGTCGGGGAGTGCAGGCCGGCAGATGCGGGGCCTTCCCAGAGCGGCACCTGTGGTTTGGGTGATGCTTGGGGAAGCTCTGGGTGTCCAGTCACGGCAGGTGGAGGACAAGGGGCATGGGGCCCCCAGTGGGGCCGTGGCAGTGGGAACCCAGGTTGGTTGGAGGCAGGCAGGAGCTCTCTGTCTGTCCAGTTCTCTCCCGTGATTTATTTGGGCTCCATCCAGAGGAAGGAAACATGTGGGCACTGCCAAGTCGTCCCCCGGGCCCCACGGGTACTCGGCCTCCTGCTGCTGTACTGACCGTGTCGTGTGGACCCCAGAGCACGTCCCCCAGCCCAGATCCCAGATCCTGCAGGGCCAGGATCGGAGGAGGGTCTTCTCTCTGGGCAAACGGAGGACTCTTAGTCCCCGCTGTGAGGCAGATGGGGCCGGCAGAGACAAGGCAGAAAGTCAGTGTGGAAACAGGTGTGAGGAGCACAGGTCACCTGGACTGGAGGGTGGTAAGACTCTCTATAAATGGGTCCCCTTGGATTTCGTTTATAAATCTCAGTGAAAAATTTTGCAGTGTTTAACCACTGTCATAGAGCAAATAAAACTGTGACTCCAGTTTCACAGATGTCGTAGCTAGTTCTGTGCTGTTGACAATCGTCCCACATTTTCCTCCAGTGGTGTCTGGATAGTCTGGTGATTCCTGGTCTTTGTGTTGATGGTGCTTATCTTCTGAGGCAGGGCCGGGGGACTCGGGTTTGGGGTGTGCCCCGTCAGGCTTCTGGCTGCATTTTGGAAGCAGCCTTTTGATTTTTTCCTGGTGTGAATACAAACCCTGATACTTTCATTTTTCACCGGCCCCGTGTGGCTGTCAGATCTTGACATGCAAAGCACGTGTGAGGTGGGAGGGACAGAGCAGGCCGCAGGAGGCCGAGGGGCCGCTGTGCTTGGTGGTCAGGGACTGCGCGGAGCGACCAAGGGTGACCACGCATACCTTCCCCAGGCAGCCGTCTGTCTGCCCAGGTGCAGCGCAGTGGATCTGGAGCCTCGTCAGGCCTCCTGTGGCAGTCCTGGTCCTTAGCTGCATGGTTTGGAAATGCCCGACCTCTGCCCTCCAGGCAAATAACCTGGCGGCAGGTCAGCCCCAGCTTCTAATCAGCTCTTCCCACGGTAGGCTTGCTTCGTAGGCCCCGGGAACAGATTTGGAGAGCCGATCCCCATCTCCAGGGCCCACGAGCACATTTTTGGAATGGTCCTCATGAACGACTGGAGTGGTAAGTGGGCGCCGGGCGGCCTGGCGCTGAGTCCACTGTGAGTGCTGCTCTGGACAGAGACCGGGCTCTGGGGACTCTCGCAGAAGTCAAGGACAGTTTCCTAGACCTTGTGCTGGTCTCAGGCGGTGGGGAGCATAGGCTCGGGTAGCAGACAGACATCTCGGCTCTGAGCCCTGGGGCCGGTTACACTGAACCCTAGCGTTCCTAGAAGTTGAATAGGGACGAGGCTGATGTCATAGCTAACAGGTCTGAGCCTTGTGTATGGGTTCCGTGCCAAATCCTTATGAGGAGCTGGCGATATCATCATTCCCTCTTTACAGGCAAGGAACTGAAGCACAGGGAGATTTCAGTTACTTGCTGAGCTAAGACTTCTAACTCAGCAGCCCAGTTTCTGAGCCTGTGCCCTGTGCAGGAGGAAGGCGGCACGTGAGTCCAGGACGTGCTCGCTCCACAGTGTGAGGATGAGCGTCTAGCCCCTTCATGGGGAAGGGTCCTGCTTGCCCTTCAGTCATCCTGCTCTTTGCTGTGACCTGGCACTGAGACCCCAAAGGACCTGTGTCCTTGGCATTGCATGCTGTTGCCCCTTGGTCCTGGGCAGCCCGACCGGGGCCAGGGCACCGTGGGGGAAGCCGTGCTGGGCGTCTGGTCGCGGGCAGGAGGGAGCCTGGGCCCAAGGCCCCGGCCAGCCCTCAGAAGCTCTGCTGGGCTCTCTTTTCTAGCTCGAGACATTCAGAAGTGGGAATATGTCCCTCTCGGGCCGTTCCTCGGGAAGAGTTTTGGGACCACCATCTCTCCGTGGGTGGTGCCCATGGACGCCCTCATGCCCTTTGTGGTGCCCAACCCGGAGCAGGTACGCCAGCCTCTGCGGGAAGCCCCCAACCCTGGCCGCTCTGCCCTGAGGCGGTGTGGCCACTGGGAGGGAGCTCGTGCCCCCGCGCGACCCGCAGGCAGACACCGATCGGTCCGCCGTGTGCTTTCCCTGCCCCCTGAGCAGTTCCTGGGGAAAACCCAGAACTTTACAGCCTTCAGGATCCTCTGAGGCCAGGGGAGCTGGCCAGTTGGCAGGGGAACGGGGAAGTGGGGTGGGGGTCCCTGTGGTTGCCACCCCACTGCACAGCTTCTTGACCAGGTGGTCGACTTGTGGTCTGTGCGATGGCGCCCTCTGGAGCCCAACTGGTAGAATGCAGTTTGGAGCCCTGAGGGGGCTTCTGGTCCCCGGGCTGACATCTGTTCAAGCCTTGTCTCATGGTCTCACCCCTCACCGCTCAGCTTGTCACAGTCTGTCCACTGTCCCTGCCCCATGGCCACCAGTGGCCTCACCAAATGCCCTGTGACCTTATGGCCAATGCCACGGTCTCATGCCCTCTTCATGGCAAACCCCGTGTCACTCTCCTTACCTGGCTTCTGGCACATGACCTGTCCCAGGTCTGTGTCTCTGAGTCCTGTGATGCTGCAGTGTGACTCTGTCCTCCATGCGGGGGCAGCCCTGGAGAGCCCCCGCCTTCTGGCCCTCCACCTGCTCCCCTCCCCTAAGCATCTCACCTGCTCGAGGCCCCCACGCCCTGCTCCCCCAGCTCCCTCTCAGCTCCTGCACCCAGGCACCTTCTCGAGGCCCTTATCCTCCAGGCTCCGTCCTTCGTCAGGGTCTCAGTGCATTCTCAAGGCACCTTTGTCCTTCCCCCTTCATCCCGGCCCTTCCCAAACGCCATGCCTGCACAGCCTCCACAACCCGCCACTTCTGCACTATTATTTATTAAACATTTTTCTTTAAAGCAGCTCCTGTTTTAAAACTCAGCGTGTTTAGAAAAGGAACTTTATATCCCTACTGGTGTCACGAGCCACCAAGCTAATCATAAAAAGGAACATAACTATTAAAATAAAACCACCCTAATTATGTCACGTACCACTAGCAAGTGACTTGAGCATCGCACTTAGCCTGACTGCAGACTTTCTGGCTTGGCCAGCAAAGCTGCCTCTGCAGGGGGCCCGAATTAGCTGGGGCCATTCACTTGGCCGCCCCCACTTCTGCTTTCCCTTTCTGTCACCCTGGCCTGTCCCCCACCGGCCTTGCTTTGGTCCCCATCTCTGGCCCTCCCACTGTCCCCTCCCCACCTTTCTGGAACACCTCTGACTTGGCCCCTGTCGTGTTGGCCTGCCGATGCCCCAATCTCGGCCGCTTTTCCTGGCATCTGGCACACATGCCACGCTGGCCGCCCGCTGTGCAGGAACACGGTGCTGGGCCCCTGGGAGGCTGCTCCTCCTACCTCAGGCCCTGTGCCGAGGGCCCCGCCGGGCCAGCTCCGCCTGTGCTGAAGGCCCTCTGCTCTGTGCTCTGCCCGTGCAGGACCCCCAGCCCCTACCGTACCTCCGCCACGACCAGCCCTACACGTTCGACATCCACCTCTCTGTCGCCCTGAAAGGTACTGTCTCAGGGTCAGAGTGCGTGTCCAGGGGCTCGGTGGAGACATGTGCCCGAGCGCCACTGCCTTGATGGCTTCCGAACTCTGGTGGGGTGAGGGAGAGTTGCCTGCTCAGCCTTGGAGACAAGTGGGCTTTTGTAAAGGAAAGAGGAGGGCAAGGGACACTGTGCTCGAAGGCAGCCACACTGGGCCCACGTGGCGTCCACCCCGCATTGGTGAGTCTCAGGGGTTAGGGCCAGAAGCACAGAGTCGGGGCCCCTCTCCAGCCTCCCCAGCCAGGGTCTGCCCAGCCTCTGCCCACACACCATCACGTCCCAGGCGACACATTCCATCCAGTGCCTCATGGGCTTGCCTGTGGGAGGCCCGGCACAGCCCTCTGGGCCCACAAAGAATCAGCACCCCCAGCAGCCCCCTGTTCCTGCCTTGGGCCAGCCCTGAGAGCCTTGCAGACAGGGCCCATGTCTCCAAGGCTGCTTGGCTCGGCTCCATCAACAGGCCGGCTGAGTGCTGGAGAAGAGTGGGCTTTGCAGGCTGTGGCCGGTGTTTGAACCTCGGCTCTGGCCCTGCCCAGCTGTGGACCTTAGGGCCAGTTACTGAGCCTGTCTGTGTCCTAATGTACCATCTGTAAAACGGGGTAATATTGGCGGTGAGCTCCTAGTGTAGTTTTGATTTGTGTACAGGTCCAGGGCAAAGCCTGTGCCTCGGAAGAGGCAGGTGTCATTTTCCGTTCCCGATGGGGGCCGTCGAGCTGGGGGAGGGTCTGCCCAGGGGCTGCGCAGACCCCTGAGTCACTGGGTGGCCAGGTCTCTTCCTCCCCAGATCTCTCCTCTTCGGTCTTGTCTCCGTGCACAGGCTCTGCTGTGGCCTCACTGCCAGTCCATGGCCTTGGCCCTTCGTGGGGGCGTCTCCTGCAGCAGGCTCGGTGTCCTCCGGGGAGACGGGAGCTGTCTCCGGGGAGCAGGACGCCCCCGTGGAGAGGGCTGTTAGGAGGAGCCTCAGAGCTGCCTGTGCCCCATGGAAAACTGTGCTCATCCCCTCCTTCCTGTTCCACTCGGGGAAACTGAGGCTCGGGGGGACAGGGGATTCACGAGAGTCACTTAGCTGGCTAATGGCAAGGCTGACAGCAAAACCCGTGTCACAAGTTTGGCACTGGTGCCCTCATGCTGCCAGAGTCCACCTTGGAGCTGTCTCTGTCTCATGTTCGTCCTGCCGCCCGGAGACATCCGGGGGAGCTCAGCGCAGGGGACGAGACGAGGCCACCAAGGAGGTGTAGTGTCCAGAGGCGCAGAAAGAACTAGGGGGCGGGGGACTGAGTGCAGATGGTTTCCCAGACCCCTCCCCGCTGCAGTCTGGGTGGCAGGGGGCAGGGCAGGGCAGGCTGGGCGCCCTGACCTTCCACGGGCCGGGCCGAGGAGCGCACCTGGTCTCTGCAGCCACAGGGGGAAGCCAGGGCCAAGCGGGGAGGTGGTTCTGAGCAAGTAGAGGGTTTTCCAATCAGAGTTTTATCATGTGCAGTGTTCTAATTATGTGCACTGTTATGGCGCAGCCGTGGCCTGGTGCCTTGCACGTAGAAGGCGTTCAATAAATACTGTTGAAATAAACTGTAAAGTGGCACACTGCCCATCGTGGAGGGCTGTGGCAGGGGACAGGGACACATGGCCCCAGCTGTCCAGAGGACTCTCGGAGCTATGGCGATTGGGTTCACCTCGTACACTATCCTCAGTTGATTGGCAGTGCCAGGAGCATTGTCTTAAGAAGGATTCGGAGGCTACATTTGAACACGTGCCATGGTCAATTTGTGCCATCGCCGTGGGTGTGGGGGAGAAGGTGGTGGCTGATGTGTGTGTGTTTGCCGTCTGGCGTAGGGCTATGAGCCTACCTGGCACGGGACTCTTTAGGCAAAATCACGTTGGACAGCGGGAAGCTTAGGCCACCAAACAATTCGGCTTATGAGGTGGGGTTTCTTTTCCTTCTTGATTAATGGAATTGAGTTTCTTGGTCAATGTTGTCTTGTTTTTCCAACAGGGGAAGGAATGAGCCAGGCAGTTACCATATGCAAGTCCAATTTTAAGGTAAGCTTCGAAGCTGGGCAGACTGCTCGCGGAGGTGAGGAGGAGGGAGCTCCTCCTCCCTGACAAGAACAAGGCGTAGCGTCCGTGTGGGGACATGACAGTGGGTCACATGTGGGCCAAGAGCTTCCTGTGAGGGTCTGGTTTCTGGCTTCTGCCTTGTCAGAGGCTGGAGGGACCAGAGTGGCTTTTTTTTTTGAATGACCCTCTGATTGAGGCATAGCGCACAGAGATGAAAATGCACAAATTACGAATGTATGACTGTATGAATTTTCGCGAGGCCAGCACCCCTGGCCACCAGCACCCAGCTCTAGAAGCGGGCAGCTTCCAAGACCTCAGCCGCCGTGGGAGCCGCCTTCCAGCCGTGTCGTCACCCTCCAGCAAGGGTCCTCTCTCTCTCCTGACTTCCGTTGCTGCATGTTAACGTCCTCTGTCTCTCAGTTTCATAGAAACGGAACCGTACAGTGTGTGTTCGCTTCCGTGTGGCTTCTCTTGTCTTAATGTTGCGTGTGTGCCTCCACCACGTTGCCGTTTGTAGTGGTGGTTCGTCCTGCTCACCGCTGTGTCAGTGCTCCACGGTCGCTTTGGCCGGTCCACGCCCGGTGGGCGTTGGCGTTCTTTCTATCCTGGGCCATCACAGAGCTGCTACGGGCGTTCCAGTGCGCATGTCTGTCGGGCGGACCCCCGGGGTAGGACGGCGGGGTCGTAGAGCACACGCGTCTACCCGCTCGGCCTGGGAGGACGTCCAGGCGGGTGTGCAGAGGGGTCGTGCAGTGTGTGCTCCCTCGAGCCGCGTGGAAGCGTGTCTGCTGCTCGGCTGCCCCGCGTCCTGGTCAACATGCGGTGGCGTTTGCCGTTCCGTTTAGGCCGTTCTGGGGGCCTGCGATTTCATTTTGCGTTTTAGCCACCTTTTCATGTGTTCGTGGAGCGTTTGAACACCCTCTGAGTCAACGTGTCCCCACTTCCTCTCGTCTTCCTTCTAGTGCATCCTCGTTCCGGGCTCTTCAGGGTAGTGAGAAGGCGTGAGGGGTTCTTGGGCAGGATTCCCTTTCCGAGGCGCCCTTTGCCTGGCTGTGTGGCCCCAGGGGTGGCAGCCCTAAGAAGCACGGGCGTGCAGTGGCGTGGGCGTGCGCCGCCTCTGAGTCCTGGTGGGGACACACAGGCCTGGCCTCTCGTCCACGTGGCCTGACCTCCCTTAGCGCTCCCTTGTTCCCAGGCCCAGGGCGTGAGCATGACAGAAGGGTCCTAGCTCATGAGGAGCCTCTGCCGTGAGGAGGGCTGGGGGTTCGGGGGGCGGAGGGTGACTGGACAGGTGAGCAGGCTGCACGGCGAGTACCCGAGCACTGAGGTCGGCCGCTCGGGGGCTTCTTGGGGGAGTTGGGGTGGGGCGGGGCTGGAAGGAGCAGGAGGGGCTGGGGCAGAGGCGGCAATCCCAAGGTAATTTTAGCATTTAAATTTTAACATGGGGTGGGGCGGGGCTGGAAGGAGCAGGAGGGGCTGGGACAGAGGCGGGGAAGGTCCCTGAGCGACTCTGCAGGACAGCTCGTGGATGCTGTGAGGGCCCGGGAGGAAGGCCAGGGCGGCATGTCCCCACCCCTGCGTCCTTCTCCCACAGCACATGTACTGGACGATGCTGCAGCAGCTGACGCACCACTCTGTCAATGGCTGCAACCTGCGGCCGGGGGACCTCCTGGGTTCCGGAACCATCAGCGGGCCGGTGAGTATCTGACCGAGCTCCCCTCCTCCCCACACGGACCCGGGGCAGGGCTGGGGTGCTTGGCTACCCCCGGGACGGGTTCCAGGGACCGCATCCCAGGTGGGTGTGTCTCACAGCTGTGTCCTGCCGAGCCACAGCCATCTCTGGGCGCACGAGAGGCTTCATTCCAAATTCAGAGCCAAAGAGACGCAGAAGGACGAGAGGCTGCACGCGCCCATGTAGGGGAGCGGCAGCTGTGTGGGGACAGGCGGGAAGGGCCAGCGCCAGTGGCTGGCTCCAGCTCACTCTCCGTCCTCCCAGGACGAGGCGACCCGCTGCTGTGGTCCCTCCCCTCCCCCGAGCCACTGTCAGCCATGGCAGTCTCGCTCAGGGGTGTATGTGCCCGTCACCCCCTCCCAACCACAGCCTCTTGTTCCGAGGGGGAGGGGTCTGGCATGGATGAGCCTCACAGCCTCCAGATCAGGCAGGGGTCCAGCACCCCCCACCATGAGTAAGGCTCGTGGGACAGGGTACCCGGCCCCGAGGGAGTTTCCCCGGTGGTCTGTGGAGACAGGGCTTCTGGGGTGCACGGGCCCCTCCATCCCTGCTGGGGGCTCCCGGGCCTTGCCGAGCACTGCCGTCAGCAACAGGTAAATCCGCGTGACACTCTTTGCCCTTTCCTGTCCTGAAGGAGCCAGAAAGCTTTGGGTCTCTGTTAGAGCTGTCGTGGAGAGGGACAAAGGCCATCGAGCTGGGGAATGGACAGACTAGGAAGTTCCTGCTGGACGGCGACGAAGTCGTCATAACAGGTGAGGGCGGCCGGGCCCACGGCTTCGTCTCCTCGTCTGCGTGCTGTCCCCTCGGCTGTGCGGCCGTCTGTCCCCCTCGGCCTCGCTCTGGCGTTCCCAGGGCTGCTCGCTTGCTTGCTGGGTCCTTCACCAGCCTCAGCTGTCGGGGACTTTAAATCCGAGTCTCCCTGGACCAGAAAAGCCACAAAGTGCCGCTCTGTCCCCCTGCTCCCTGAGCCAAATGGTGAAATGGCAGGTTCCCATCGCCCCGGACTTTGCAGTGCAGAGACCCTGTGTCGGGCATCTGCCGTGCCCACTGTAGATTAAAATGGGGAGGCAGCGGCCAGCCTCGCCCGCCAGGACGTGCGGGGACGCGAGGTGATGTAATCGGCATTCGCACTGGCACTAAGAAAGCAGGCGGTGCTGCTGTGGCTTCAGGGCGGGAAGGAAGGCTCAGGGTCAAGGACAAGGTCACAGGGCTCCTCGGTGCCGAGCACGCCTGCATCTCTGAGCAAATGCGACACGTGCACCTCTCGCCCGGGTCTCTGAGCCTTTGCACGCGCTGCCCCTCTGTCTGGCGAGCCCTCTTCCCGTGGCCTCCCGCGCAAGCTGCACGCCCGCCAGCGCCCGGCTCCGGCGTCCCTCCTCTCTGCTCCCGCGTCCTCCGTGCCGCGCCCGCAGCGCTGCACGTGGGCTTTTCTCCTCTCGCGCTTGTCTAGGCGGGCTCGAGCCCCCTCTGCGTTTGTCACTCTCGTTGGAATGGAACGAATGCCACTAACGCTTGCTGAATGTCCGCTCCACGAGGGAGAGCGTGCTGAGGCTTCGTCCGAGGCTGCCGCGGGGTCCTTGCGAGCGACAAGGACAGCTGTTCCCGTTTGTGAACGAGGGGGCTGAGCTCGGAGGTTAAACCAGCTGCCCCCATCACCCCGCTTGTAATCGTCAGTGTAGCTGGTGTTTGTTGAGCACGTGCCATGGGTCAGGCACTGTCCTCAGGGTGTTCCATGTACTGTTTCATGTCATCCTTGTGACACTCCTACCCCGTGGATGCTGTCATGAGGCCCATTTCTCAGACACGTTCTGAGTTCCAGGGGTACCCGAGCTCAGCCCGGCTTTGACCTCAGGCATTCTGGCTTCCGGCTCATTAGTAGTCATGGGGATTTGACCCCAAACCCGTGGTTGACTGCCTGTCAGGAAAGCTATGGGGCATCTTCAGGGTGCTTCCGAGGACCCCTGACGGTGGGGGTGGGCCCTGCAGGTCCCCCCAGATTCTAAGGGCCGTTCTGTTTAAAACCCGCGTTTGCCCTTCCGGTGGCGCCTTCCTGCCTCGGGCCCCGCTGTGCGGTGACGGGCCCTGCAGCTGCCTGGGCGTTGGTTCCCGTGAGCCCAGCGGCCCCTCGCTGAGCCCTGTCCTCCTCTCTTCCAGGACACTGCCAGGGCGACGGTTACCGTGTCGGCTTTGGCCAGTGTGCTGGCAGAGTGCTGCCCGCTCTCTCACCAGCGTGAGGTTCTCCCTGCTGTCCTGGAGAAAGGGGCTGGACGCCCACCCCGCCCCGGGGACTGGGGACGCCCCTGTGGCCGGAGGCCGGTTCTTCCTTCGGTGATAAATAAAGCCATTGCGCTCCATCCCCACGCTCGGAGATTCGCTCGATCGCAGTGTGCGACGTCCACTCGTGCTCTTGAATTAAAGGGCCGAGCGGCTACCACTTCTGGGCAGACGTTCGGTCACTCGTTTTCTCGTGTGTACGGGAGGGCTGACCCCAGGCTGACCCCAGGCTGACCCCAGGCTGGCCCCAGGCCTCCCAGCGTTCCTGGGAGTGGGAGTGAGCACGGCACCTGTGCCAGCGTAGAGTCCTCAACGGGATGGGGATGCAGAGAGAGATTCGGTTTAAGGAATCGGCTCATGGGCCGGCAGAGGTGCAAGTCCTGTCTGCGGGGTGGACGGCGGGCCGGAGACCGCGGAAGGGTTGCAGTTCGAGTCCGAGGCTGGCCTGCTTCCTCCGGGGCGAAACGCCGAGGGCCCAAGGCTGCTTATTCTCCCTGGGTCCCCGCGGACCTCCTGCCCATCCTTCCTGCCTGCTGTGTCCTGGGAAGGGCCACCTCTGTGGACAGCATCACCCAGGCACACGCCCTCCAGCCTCCGGGAGGGGCAGTGAGGGCGCCGGCCGAGAGGGGTGCAGGAGGAGAAAAGCCACTGTGTGTAGTCCTCCCACCTTCCCTGCTGGGCTGTGGTTTGGGGACAGCTGTGTCTCCCTGTGTCCCCCTCCCTGTGGCCTAACAACCCTGGCAGGCTTCTGGTAACACTTCCCTCCCCACATAAGGGGCGGTCACGGCGTCTCACCGTCTTCAGTCCTGGATCATTCCCCATTTCTCGCTGGCTGTCTGAACCTTGCCTACACTTCTGAAAATAGTCCCAAAATGAAACCCTCTTCAGTTCATCCCTTGAGAATGTCTCCTGCTTCCTGACTGATAAAGTGACCGGCACCAGGAGTGGCATCAGGAAAGACTCTTAAAATAAGATTCTGGAATGGATTCCGTTGCCTATTTGATGAGCACGGGGTCCCCTCCTTGCTGAGGGAGGTGGGACACTGGTAGTCTGTGGCATGTCGTGCTCTCACAGTGATCAGAAGGTGGCCCGTGGTGGCAGGGGATGGACTGCAGGCTGGGAGAGGAGTCACTGGCACTTGGTTGCTGTGGGAATTCTGATGATTTCAGGGGTTCTCAGGCGGGCTGACTGCTGTTGCCCTGGAGAGTGTACACAAAGAGAAGGATTCGTAACCGAAGCCTCGGAGCGAGAGGCACCTGTGCGGCGGCCGGCCGCCCCTCACGTAGCTGTAGGACCACCACGGCTCAGGGTCTCGTCCAAGCTCTGGGTGCCAAGCTGAGCCGCCAGTGAACTGTGTGGTTGACGGGGACTCCGAGGCTTAGGATGGGGACATTTGGGCAGGCACAGGTGAGGCCGACAACGGCGAACCTGACATTCTTCTGAACGTCCCTTGTCAGTGGCAACAGCCCCTCCACCCCCATCCGAGGGGACCAGCCTCTGTTTCATGAGCCCGTGCCGTGACTCATCTGAGGGCAGGGGCAGAACCCACTGTCCCGCACGCACCTGTCGTCTGCAGGACGGCCTCAGGGTTGGATCCCGGCCAGAGGAGGAGGGCCAGGTCTTGGGCACCGACGCTGCTACTTGGCTGTGTCCTCAGCCGTACGAACATCTGCCAAGCCCCCACGTCCTGGGTGATCAGAAGCTGAGACCCTCCCTCCCTCCTGAGAATTTCTCCTTGGGGCCTGCACCAGCCAGCGTCCTAGTGGGGAAGAGATGGGCCACCCAGAGCATCACCCAAGAGGGGTGAGCGGGAGAATGCTGACAGGTCGAGTGGGGTTAAGAGAAATAAGGGGGTGGTGAACTCCTAAGCTCCTGGGACGGGCCACAGCACCAAGCCATTACCTCCTCTGCCTGAAGTGACAAGAGGGGGCGCGTTCCCAGAACCTGCGAGCTGCAGCAGTGAGCGGGGAGGCACCCAACAGGGGCCGTGGCCATGGGTGCTGACCAAAGCTGCTGACCAAGCTGCAGCCCGGCAAGAAGGGAGTGGGAGGAGTACCTTGCCCCCCGCCCCCTGCTCTCTGGCCATAGCCAGCCTGCCCCTCTGCTGCTTGAGCAGAATACTGGGCCCATGCGTGTGGACCCGGGAGCGCAGCCGAGCGCCTCCCAGCAGACTGGGCCCCAGAGGGCACGGCACGTCACCCATCACGCACGGCAGGACCAGGCTTCACCAGTGAGACTGCGCGGCATGACGCCGCACAGGAGGACACATGGGCGTCGCAGTGCCCTCCACTGGACACAGCCCCTTTGGGTTGAGTCAGCCTCTGGGACAGTTCACGGAAGAGGGGGACACTGCTCTTTCAACTCAATAGGATCAGGCAGACATCCGAACGGCCCGTTCGAGGACGTGAAGTAGAGGTGGTGGGCGCCGACACGCCGGGCCAGCAAGGCCGGTGTCCTGCTACCCTGTCAGGCTGTCAGCACCCCCGGGCTCCACCCTTCTCCAGAGACCGTCATTCTGACTTCCTGCTTCTGCCTGTTTCCGCTCCCTCCCTGGGCCTGGGACTGCTCTCTTTCCAGATTGCACGTGTTCACACGCGTACCGCCCAGATGTCGTGATTGTCCCCAGACACCACTGCCACAAAGTAGATCGTGTATCAGACTTTACTGAGAGTTTGGAGTGACAGGAAGGGACTGTACAGAGCATAGTACAGGCAGCTGCTTAAAACTGGCCACCAGACACCACTATCTGGAAAGTCTGTCGCCGGTTCCCTGGAGCAAAGAGTTTCTTTCTGGTCACATTTTCCCTGAGGTCCTGGATCGTGGCCGACGTCACAGATCTGTCTCCAAGCGCTTTTCGTTTGCTCTCTGTCAACATTCCATTTCTTTTGCTGGACAGATCCCCTCTCCATCCACAGCCCCAAGCTTCATCTCAGCTCGGCGGGGACTGGGGAAAGCGCTCTGACCGCAAAGGACCGTCACCTCCCTCCCTGAGCAGCATAAAGCAACAGCAGGACTTGGAAATTCCGGTCCTTTCTCCCCTTCATACCCTCAGATTCTCGGGTCTTCCTCCCTTACGTTCTCTTCGGTGGAGTGGGTGGTGCTTCAATGTCGATTCTCCTGAGCAAGCCCCCAGGGTTCAACGTTCCCGTCTTCACCTTTCTTTGGTCTCTTGGCACATGTATCATAGGAAAAATGGAAACCACCCAAGTACTTAGTAGGAGTCTGGATGATTGTGCACATGCTCTAGTGGGCACCGTGTATAGCCACTGAAATGACAGGCAGGAAGACCGCAGCAGAAACGTGCGTCTGATACAAGTTTAGGAGAGAGGATGACTTAAATTATGTAGCTGACGGCATGTGTGAAAAAAATCTATCTTGCGTGTGGACAAAGATTGGAAGAGAACACACGGACACACTGAACATCACTGTTCTGCTGGAGGCTTGCGTGGGGAGTGATTTTTAAATTTTCTGTCTTTTCTGAAGTGTTATTATTTCCCCCTTGCAACCAAAAAAAAAAAAGGGTCAAAATAGGGTGGGAGCAACTCTCGGTGTGGGAAAGACCGAATCCGGCCCCCGGGGCCCGGTCAGCGCCTCTCAGCCCTCGGCGTGCGTGCAGACGGATTGGCGGGCCTTGCTGGAGGGCTCGTGGGCCCCGCCGCTAAGGCTGCGGCGGGCCGTGATTCTGGAGTCCGACAGTTGCAGGCGCTGTTGCTCCTTCATCGCCGTTTGTGCAGCGGGCCCTCAGGCATCCTGCGTTTCTGCTCCTGAGAGTTCAAAAGCACCTGCAGGCAAAGTCTTCCAGACCGGTCCCGTCCCTTGGAATCTGCTACCAAGTGGTCAGGTGCCGGTTCTGACTGCCGATGGGCTTGTTGCAGAAGCGCTCGGTATTTCTGAGGTAGGCTGCAGAGTGAAGGCTGCCGCTGGGCCTCAGATGATGCCCAGGTCCCGGCTCTGGCCCCTCCCTTACACAGAGCCCCCGTGCATCTCGGTCCACTGCCTCTGCCAACTGTCCCTTTGTGCGTCCCACACAGTGGAGGGGGAACAGCTGGACATACCCTGGCATGCTGTCTGAACAGCTGTGGCCTTGTTCACTCTCGGGGGTCACCTAGTGGTGACAGTGCTTTGGAAACCTGTTTCCCAGGTGGCCTGGGTTGGAGTGGGACCTGTGGCTGGGACGCAGGTGACGGGAAGGGTCCCTTGAGCTTCTTCACAGTTGCATGTCTCTGCTGGACGACAGGCCAGGCCTCGGAGGGATGGAATGGATGCATTTGGTGGAGGAGGAGTTCAGATGGTCTCATGCGTGAAAACAATGACAATGACAATTATGTAAATCAGTAGACACCATATCCCTCAAGGACAGGCGCTGGGAGAGGTCGCCGTGAGCATCCCTCTGACCGGGGATCCTGGCCGGGAGCTTTGACCTGTTGGAAGTGGCCCTGGGAAGTGGAGGAGAACCCAGGGTTCCAGCCTGCACAGGGAGGGGGGACCCAGAATCTCAGCTCCTCCCAGCCCCGACCCCTGGCTTCTCCTGCAGTGGTGGAATCAAGGAAGGACACACGTTCGCCCACGTTCTGTCATTTCATCCTCACGACAGCCTTGTGAGGTAGATGTTATTACCCCATTTGACAGATGAGGACATTGGGGCTCAGAAAAGCTGAGTTACTCGGGGTCATATAGCAAAGGAGCAGAGGAGCTGGGACTTGGGACCGGATTTGTGGGCTTCACTCTGGTATTCCCGCCACAGGGTCACAGTCGGCGATGGGGTGAGAGGTGGGGTGGGCGGGTGGGAAGAAGAGGGGGCGGGGAGGCCCCTGGGGCGGCAGTATCAACGACTCGC